TATCCATTAAACTTATAGGTAGATTACTATGGGATATTATGTTTTTAAAAATAAAGTGTATTGGGTGGATTTTTCTATAATAGAAGCATTAAAAAGTACTTCATATTGAGGAGGTGGTTCAGACATTGTCATTAGTTATATAAAGAACTGATTTCAAGTAACTTCAAAGTAATCTCTTCAGTGTGCTTCACCATGTTATAGCAAACCAACGGAACTCTGAGATCATAGATTATCGAATGATGATGTTTCCCACACTAAACATTGCTCTGTCGGAACCATGAGACTCACTTCAGAGTACATATCAGAGCAATATTACTCTAGATCTGCATGTGGCATTTGACATTGTTTTACAGAACTCAAATTTGACATCATAATAATATTAGCAAACTGGACCACAAGCATGAGAACACTCCTTGGACTCATGAGCCAAGCAACCTTCTGGCTCCCAAGGGGCCAGACCTAAGGTCCTTCATGCTCGCACCGAAGGTGGGCCTCCCTAGTAGGGCAGTGGATTTTCTAGCAGCCCCAGTCAGCACCAAACAGACCAGTTTCTCAGCTGAATACAATCTTTCCTGGTACTAATTCCAGAGAATGTCTTCCTTCTCAAAGAGAACTCTGGGTAATATACTAAACAACATCCCCAATACCTTCCTAGTAAACACGGTAACATGTTTTCCATGAAATCTTTGTATGTCCTTCCATGGAGGTAGATGGCCTATAAAGCAAAGCTTAATATATAAAAGCAGTTTAGAAGTGGGCATCATTGCATGAAAAATATGTATTTGATTTTTATTACTTTTACATTTTAATGTAGCCATATTTTCTCTACTGTTTACCTTTTTTGTTAAATAAATGAATAATAATCTAAAGTCTATTTGGTGAAAAGGTGTGGGGAGGGGTGGTCCAGTGACCAAGAAAATGACCTCTTTGTATAATGCCCAAAGAGTAGGATACTGATTTGTTTAGTTTAAGCAGGGAATGGGAGCCATCAGCAGACAAGCCAGGTCTGCCCCTTGGATGTGTTTAGATTGCCCATGCAGTGTTCGTGTTTTTAATTCTGATTTCATGGTCAACATTTAAGAATTAGGAAGTTTTCACAAATATCCAGACTGCCACTTTTGAAAAGTAGGAAGATGTGGCATGTCAGGGCTTTTGAAAAGTAGGAAGATGTGGCATTCTGCACAGTGGCCCCAGCAATGTGCAGATGCTTTTAGGGTGGGTGTGGGACTCTCTTGTTGAGCACTCTCCACCTGCCCTGTCTCACTCATTTACCTCCTGCTTCGCCCCTGTGAGCATTCACCTCTCCACCCCCAGTGAGGCCATCTGGTAGATTGCTGAGCAGCACTTCTGGTACTGTTGGTGGCTGGGCTCCCTAGGGTTACACCAAAGTCCTTGCCATTGTGGATCAGGTTCCCATGAAATTCTTATGTATTTGATTTCCTGTCTATTCAGTAAGGAAATGCTTAGGACTATTTTTTGCTTTAAAAAAAAAAGCCCATCATAAGCTGCCTGCCAAATGAAATAAACTCTTCTTCAGAATGCAGTTAATTTACTTTGGCTCCTATTCCCCAGAGAGGAGAAACAGCACTGCACATGGCAGCTCGATCTGGCCAAGCTGAAGTTGTGCGGTATCTGGTACAAGACGGAGCTCAGGTAGAAGCCAAAGCTAAGGTATGTGTAATACATGAAAGTTGTTGCAACTGAAGAAGAAACTGTTGATTTTAATAAAACCTTTAAACATAGACAGTGCTGTCTTTCAAGAACATATTTTTAAAGTAGTAAGCAACCTCCAGTGAAAAAAGTCTCTACCCAAGTAATATTGTAAATATATCCCTTCCCATCACATTTTTTTATTCAGTTCTTTAACAAAATTTAATTGAACAAGAACCGTGCCAGAAACTGTCCTTAACACATTGCAAGTCCCTAACAGATTAGGAACCAAATCTGAGCTTGGTCTAGAGATTGTACTCCATGGAGAAGGGCTGATGTGTAGAGCTTCTAGAACAAGCACAACTTGAAAGGATTATTGAGCTCTTTGGGTTGACTTGTATGTCAGCTGTCACAGTCACCAAAAGAAAAAGTACATTTTTATTTTTTCTCCACAAGTTGTGAAACCATAAACCCTGAGAGCTGTTTCAGGGATCTGTCTTTACGTATAAGAGTTGAGGCTGGATGCTTCGTCGTCTGCCTGGTGTTTAGCCTCCAGTAGAAACCCAGTTATGTTCCACTATCGGGGTGGATAGTTGGTCTGGTAATCAGAATGACTGTTCAGGTCGGGAATCATGAATAAATACATAAATACCTTAATCACTTAATTTTAGCTTACAATACATAAATGTACATTTATTTGCTATTTGTGCTGTGTGCAGTTTCCAGTTTCAGGTTAAGTGGAGAGAAAATTGGGACATTTGTGAAGCAGTTTGAGTACAGAATATTTCTAGATCTTTATAACTTTCCCCCAGTGTATTCACTTGTCTCACCCATATCTAATTTGACCATAATTGTTTTTTATAAACTTCTATCAAGGCTCTATAAAGCTTTCAACATATCATTCTGAGGGAAAAACTGTTTTACTTGTTAACGTATTGTCTAATTGTTTAATTAAAGTAACTAGTACAAAAATAGTACAAACTGGTGAAGTAACTAGTACAAACATACTAGTGTGGGAACACACAACTGAGTCTTTGTAAGCATAAAATCCACAGGTCATGACATCCTAGACTGCAAGCCATGAGCCTGAGTGTCAATGTAACATGA